GCCTAGCAGTTAGGCAAGATACATCAATAAAATGGCAAAATGGCTAATCTTTAGGATTAGAAATATTTTTTTCCTAATCGTTTCTCTGGAATGATCTGACATCAAACCCGTTTTTTTAAATTCTGTTTAAGAACCCGAATTGCATCGTGTGATCAAAATTGTACCTTAGATACAATCATCATTAACCCAGTCAAGGTAATTCAATTACCACAGTCGAACTCCAAATAACCTAGCAGAACTGCAGAAGCTGAATGAAGAATCTTTTTAAATTTTTGCGCCCACGCGCATATCCTGCCTGATAATCAATTCATTTCTCCTCTCTGAGATTGGAAATTGACCTCGCCATCTTTGAAAAAGACAGAGTGGCAAAGAAGTAGAAGAGGAATAACCTATTTAATGCCAGTTTTTGTGCGTTCGGATTGTTGCAGTGCAACCCGGTTGGCGTTGAAGACGCTGAATATTCAAGGACATCGCAGAGAAAATTAATGGAAACATAAAGGAGATCAGAGTGCTTACCTTCAATGGATAGGAGGGAGATTGTTTCGGATCGATTTTCGGTAGAACAGCAGCCGCGTTTGGCGTTAAGCTCTCTTTTTCTCTTGGACTAATCTCGGTGCACACTTTTATGAGTGGTAAAAATATGACCTTCCTTTAGGTACAACTTGGTATTTTTGTAAATTTTGCGAATTTTTTATCCAATGCCTAGAACATATATGATAACTATTATATATGACAATGAGTACCAGCAGATTTGAGAAAGAGTACCACTACTTATGAAAATTATCATATTCTTATTCAATACAAACATGAATAAACCTGGATTTTAAATTCTCCATGCTCAGAGAATATAAATGAGTAGAACGAATCGAATAAGGAAGAAGTTGATGATGGTACTGAACTTTTTAATTGTGAAAAAATTGAACAATACTTTATTTGAGAATGAACATTTCCTTATTTGAGAATGAGTATTGTTTTTTTAAGAATGAACACTATGCTATTTATTATAATTATATTAGATAAATGTGTAAAAATGAGTACTTCTTTATTTTAAAATGAGTACTATCTTTGCAAGAATGAGTACTACGTATTTCGAAATGAATGTTTATATTTGTACTGATGGTGTAGATATAGATGTGTGGGTTGACCGGGTTTGACCTGGACACTCGACCCATAATATAAAACACACAACAAGAACACAAAGTATGACCTAGACCGGGTAAATCTCCTCAGTCCGAAATATATTTCTTACCCTGTCTCAAGAGTGCACTAGTTTTAGTGAGAGAAAGAATGGATCCCCTCCTCTATGCAATATCATCATATTTATAGAGGAGGATTTGTGACCCTCCCCTGTTCACTCATGGACAAGATAGGAAACCAGGAGGAAGGCCACTGTACATAATCTAATCACTGTTCAATCATAGACTTGCTACTAATACAACCAAGGAGCACTGTTCAATCAAGGACTATAACATGGATATTCTCAATCCAATCAGCGCTGCAAGGTGACAAACATCCCTTTCACTGTTTGTCTCGTGATGGGCGAACGGCGGGGTGGTCCCTCCATCTTTGACGTGGTTCACCATGCCTGAGATACTGGATCAATCTTTGTAAAGTGAGATGATATGACCGGTCACCTTTTCTCAAAGGTTGACCGGTCATTTTGGTCTTCTGGGTTCTTCGCAACATTAGGTGACATTTTGGTTATCGCCCAAAATGTGACCGGTCATTTTTTTAGTGGAAGTGGCCGGTCAATATTTGACCCGTCCCAATTGAAGGGTTAACATCATTTGGTGACTGATAAAAGTGACCGGTCATATTTTGACCTGTCCCTTTCAGTTATCCGGGTCGGGTATAAGGATATAGCCATCAATAAGTCCTCCACTTACCGGCCTTGTGAGGAAATCATCAAGGGCGGGAAGTATACTTGTGTTGACCTATCACACTTTGAAATCATCAAGTCATTCTCGCTGACCAGTCCTTCCACATCATCAAGCCTTTCCCTCTAAGACCTGTCCTTATTTGAAATCATCAAGCCATTCTCGTTGACCTGTCCTTCTTTGAAATCATCAAGTCATTCTCGTTGACATGTCCTTTGAAATCATCAAGTCATTCTCGTTGACCTGTCCTTTGAAATCATCAAGACATTCTCGTTGACCTACCCTTCTTTGAAATCATCAAGTCATTCTCATGACCTGTCCTTTTTTGAAATAATCAAGCCATTCCCATGACCTGTCCTTCTTTGAAATCATTAAGTCATTCCCATGAAATGTCTTTCTTTAAAATCATCAAGTCTTTCTCATGACCTGTCCTACTTTTGAAATAATCAAGTCATTTCCATGACCTGTCCTTTGAGATCTTCCAGTCTTTCTCATGACCTATCCTTTGAAATCATCAAGTTTTTCCCATGACCTGTCCTTCTGGCACTTTGGGGCTCCTCAGACCTGACACTTTGTGGATCATCACACCTATCACTTTGGAGTTCATCAGACTTGGCACTTTGGGGCTCCTCAGACCTGACACTTTGTGGATCATCACACCTATCACTTTGGAGTTCATCAGACCTGGCACTTTGGGGTTCATCAGACCTGGCACTTTGGAGATCATCAGACCTG